CTTTCTTCCATTTTTGGAAGAGTTTAAGAAGTTTTGGCATTTATTCTTGTTTAAATGTTTAGTAGAATTCACCAGTGAAACCATCTAGTTTTTGGTCCTGGGCTTTTCTTTGTTGGGAGGTTTTTGATTATTGATTCAATCTCCTTACCCGTTATTGATCTGTTCTTTTTTTTTTTTTTTTTTTTTTTTTGCGGTACGCACGCCTCTCTCTGTTGTGGCCTCTCCAGTTGCGGAGCACAGGCTCCGGACGTGCAGGCTCAGCGGCCATGGCTCACGGGCCCAGCTGCTTCGCGGCATGTGGGATCTTCCTGGACCGGGGCACGAACCCGTGTCCCCTGCATCGGCAGGTGGACTCTCAACCACTGCGCCACCAGGGAAGCCCTATTGATCTGTTTTGATTTTTCTGTTTCTACATAATTCAGTCTTGGTATATTGTTTGTTTCTAAGAATTTATCCATGTGTTCTATAGTATTCAATTTATTTGTGTATAATTGGTCATAGTAGTCTCTTATGATCTTTTGTATTATTGTGATATCAGTTGTAATGTTTCCTCTTCATCATGATATCACTGCTGTCTTTGTCTCTTGTTAGAGCTGTTAAAGTTTATCTTGTCTGATATATTTATCACTGCTGTTTTTTGGTTTCCACTTGCATAGAACACCTTTTTTTATCTCCTCACTTTCAGTCTGTATGTGTCCTTAAAGCTGAAGTAAGTCTCTTATGGACAGCATATAATTGGGTCTTGTTTTTTGTTTTGTTTTAATCCATTCAGCCACTCTTTTCTTTTTGACTGGAGAATTTATATCATTTACACTTAAAATAATGATTGATGGGTAAGGACTTACTAATTCCATCCTAATTGTGCTCTAGCTGTTTTGTAATTCCCTTGTTCTTTTCTTCCTCTCTTGCTGTCTTCTTTTGTGATTTAATGATTTTCTATTTCCCTTCTCTTTATCTTTTTATATTAATGTAGGCTTTTGCTTTGTGATTACCATGAGACTTACAAAAAATATCTTATAGATATAACTCTATTTTAAGGTGATAACAACTTAACTTTGGTAACACACAAAAACACTACCCTTTTACTCCCTTCCCACATTTTGTTTTTGATGTCACAATTTACCTCTTTTAATATTGTGCATCCATCAGCAAGTTATTGAAGTTATAGTTATTTTTAATAGTTTTGTCAACCTTTACTAGAGTTGACTGGTTAACACACCACCGTCTTATAGTATTATATTCTGAATGTGACTATATACTTACCAGTGTACTGTATACTTTTTTACATTTCATGTTACTAATTAGTGTTCTTTTGTTTCAGCTTGAAGAACTCCGTTCAGCATCTCTTAGAGCAGGTCTAATGCTGATTAATTCTCTCAGCTTTTGTTTGTTTGGGAAAGTCTTTATCTCACCTTCATTTTTAAAGACAGCTTTGCTGGGTAAAGTATTCTTGATTGGCAGGGCAGTTTTTTCTTTCAATACTTTGAGTATATTATCTCACTCTTTCCCGGGCTGCAAGCTTTCTCTTGAGAAATCTGATAGTTTAATGGGGGTTCACTTGTATTTGAGAATTATTTTTCCTCTGGATGATCTTAAATTTTTGATTTTAGACAGCTTCATTATAATGTGTCTTGGAGAAGATCATTTTGAGTTGAAATATTGGGGTGACCTATTAACTTTATGAAGTTGGATGTCCAGATATCTCCCCAGATTTGGGAAGTTCTTAGCCATTATTCCTTTAAACACGCTTTCCGCCCCTTTCTCCATCCTTCTCCTTCTGGGACTCCAATAGTGTCTACAATGTTTCTCTTAATGGTATCCCACAGTTCATATAGGCTTTCTTCACTCTTTTTCATTTTTTTTCTTTGTTCTCTACTGACTGCATAATTGCAAATGTCCTGTCTTCTACTTCATAGAATTGTCCTTTTGCTTGATCTAATCTGCTTCTGCTGTTCTTATCACATTTTTAAATTTCATTCATTGTAATTATTCAGCTCCAGGATTTCTATTTGGTTCTTTTTTATGATTCTATTAAGCTTCTCATTTTGTTTGTCATGATTTCATTGAATTGTCTTTCTCTGTTTTCTTGTAGCTCACTGAGCTTCCTTAAAACTGTTATTTTGAATTCTTTATCAGGCAAACTGCAGATCTCCATATTTTTTTTGGCTCTGATTCTGGAAAATTATTGTGCTCCTTTGGTGATGTCATGCTACACTAATTTTTCAAATTCCTTGAAGACTTTGCTACTGTCTTCAAATCTGGAGAAGCAGTCACCTCCTCTGGTCTTTCTGACAGGCTTCAGGAGAGAATTACCTTCTGTCAGCCCTGCTAGTAATTCTGAGGCTTTCTCAGATCTTTTCTATGGTGCTCCACACTTGTTTCAACTTACAGCAGAGTTCTTATGCTTGTATGCCTTCTTTCAATGCTGTAAAACTAGTTCAGTTACTGATAGCCTCCTCTTTGCTTTCCCTAGGGTGGTGCTGCATGCTCAAGTTTGTGGTTTCTCCCAGGCCTGCACAGTTAGGCCAGAATTTGAGTTGGTCTTATAATCAGTCAAAGACAGGGCATGTCCCACTACTAACTCTTTGTGAAAATTCACAACATCATCATTATGTGCCTGTGTTTGTGTATGTATTGTGTTTTATTGTTAACAACAAAACGTGCAGAATCTCACTTTAGGAGATGTCTTATGCAGCATGGTGTGGGAGGATACAGACAGGAGGCTCTTAAGAGTCTTGGCTGGGGTCCCAGTCTTTGGCCTCTCCATGGGGAGAATGCCTGTTAGGGTTTCCCTTAGCAACAGGCCTGGAATGGTCTGCTTAGAACAGTGACATACCAGGCCACATGAAAACAAACTAAGGAGCAAGCATATTAAGGCCAAGAAATGCTCAAGTTCATCCAGCTCCCCAGTGACCTTTTCCACCTGAACAAAAGTCCCTGGTGTCACCACTCACTGGGCAGTGGCTTTGGTGGACAGAGAGCTAAAAGGGAGTGAAAGCGACAGTGTCCCCCAAGCCCCACCATCCTCCCTTCTCCATGCTGGGAGTCAGAACTGCTGCCTTTGCTCAGTGGCCTTGTTTCTTAAACTCTTTCTCTCTTGGGATTTCTTAAACTTAAAAACAAAACCAAAACAACAACAAAAACCTATTTGTAATGAAATAGCAGAAACACTAATTTCACAGTGCTAACACCTACATGTTGAGGGGGGGATTGGCTTTTGGTACCAAAAGGTATCATTCCAAATCAAAGTTACTCTCTGGAGGTAAAAAAATACAAGAAAGTTAAGAGGACAGATTTTGCAGGTTGGTAACAAAGAGGAAAGTCTCCAAGAACAGGGTAGAGATGGGGTCTGCTGGGCACCTGTATGGCAAGGACCACTCCCACCCCATGGGGTGCCAGGACCCCTCCAGAGCAGTGGGTTGGGGCTCAGCAGCCACCATACTCTGCCTTCACCTGTTCAAGAACGAGCGCTCCACATTCAGCCCCTTTCCGGGCATAGCTGGGGATGGTGCCTGTGAACACGTGTCTGTGGGGCATGACAGGGACTCTTCGTGAGGCTGGGGCATCATCCATCCGGACCAGGTTTTATCGTGCGCAAAGCCTAGTGCGCTCACTCCTCACCAGATGCTGGCCACAGCCTTGCTGGAGGAGGAGGCCAGGTCTGCTTCAAGGGCTTGTCCTATCGCACTTGCCAAGAAAGGCATTTTTTGAAGCTGGCTCCACCCCTCCCTCCCAAACTGCCTGCAACCAGCTCGCTTCCTCACAGCAAAAGGATGGGCCGTCAATAAAGGTGTCTGGAGGCAGGAAGGGAGGCAGTGAAGAAACCGGAATACAAGCAGGACAGGAAGTGAGCCCCCAGCTGCTTGAGGTGCAGGTGGGAGAGAAAGGGTCTGAGGAGGACAGAGAGGACGGGGGCTGCCAGAGACAGCAAAGCAGCAGCAGAGTGAGGAAGCTGCAAGCTCGGGAAGTCGTGAGCAGAAGGGAACCCCAAGACCACGGAAGGCCCTCCCTACAGGAGGCCCGAAGAGAATGGGGAACTGAAGTACAAAAAGGTGACCCCTACAAATGGGGGACTGAGGCACAAAGCGATGGGACCCTGAAGTGAATGAGGGCCCAAAGGGGACCTGAAGCCCAAAGAGACGGTGGAGGCAGATGCGTAAGAAGGGGAGGCTGAGAGCCCAGACACTGAGGTGTGAGAAGAGATGGGAGTTGGGGGAGCAAGGCCTGGGGCGGTGGGGCCCCAGAGCCCCAAGACCGGAGAGGCCGATGGGCGAGAGGCAGGGCATCCACCGGTGCGCCCCAAGGGGAGCCGCGCTCCGCCATGTTCAGCGGCTTCCAGGCTGCTTCGGCACGAGGGCCAGGTGTCCGTCTGACAGGCGGCAGTGACGCGGGAACCCCGGCCTGAGCGGCTGGCCGGGAGACGCACTTCTTGTTTTAGAACATACCCAGGGTTATGGACGGGCACTTACTCAGCTTGCTGCCCCTGGTGTCCTTCTTGGCCAGGCCCTGGCCCGGCGGCCCCGTAGGGCCTTTGCTTCTCCATTTTGCGGAAGACCGGAGGCGGCAGCGGGCGGGCTCTAAGTGCGCATGCTCCTCACACGGCGCCACAGCCGCGGCTCCTCCGAGGCGGGTGTGTAGCTCGGCGGGGCTGGGGTCCCCATGCTGCAGAGCAGAAGACGGACGAAGCTTTGTCCTTGTGGCACCGTCAGGGGCCAAGCCACGGGCAACTGGTGGGCGGCCTAACTGGGGGCTGCAGTGGGCCGGGGCGTGGGCTGCACGGCGCTTCTGGTGCTAGCCGCTGATTTGCCCCAGGGTGGCTTCCGTGCCGTCCATCTCGCAGTTGCCGCCTTAGGAGGCCTTGGCGGTGGCCCAGGCCACGCGTGCCCGCAGGCCCCACTCATCTCCCGTGACAGCCTCCGAGCGGTCACCCAGGCCCAGCCGGCCGCCCGGGGCTCTCAGGCTGCCCGTTCTCTAGCGCCGCTTACTTCGGGGCCCAGCAGATGCCGGAGACCAGGGAGCCCTCGCGCAGGACCTCGCAGGGGCCGCTAGCCGCCTCCTGCGCCCGCCGAGTCTTCAGAGATTCTCCGGAGAAGGTAAGAGTGAGGCTGCGCCTGCGCTCAGGCACAGGGCCTCCGGGACGCCCTTGGGCTCCGGGAGGCTGCGGTGGAGCGAACCTTGGCCCGCGCGTCGCGTCGAGCGGCGGTAAAGCGGCGGCGGCGGCGGCGGCGGCTGTGGGAGGAGTCGAGCGGGTGGAGCCGGCCGCTCTCGCTGCTGCGGCGCTGGCTCCCCAGATCAATATTCTTCTTCATAAGCAAATCAGCCGGGAAAAGGTATTTGAATATAACAAAATTTCTTTTATCTACAATTTATTATTATTCCGTCAACCCCAGTATACGTGGAGTAGGGTTTCAGAGTTGGAAACACATAGCCCTGTGAGAAACAAATTCAGCAACTAGAGTACGGTGTTTATACACAGTTCGAAGAGCCAGGCAGAATTTGGCCTTGGGAGGAGTCCTGTGTAAAATATCACAGACTCCCATTGTTCTTACATAAACTACAACACTTTCTGAGGCATCAACATTTCTGATTGTTGTGTGCGTTGGTTGATTTCCAGAGTGTTGAAATCATTGTGTTTGTCAATTTTGGCCAAGTTTGTGGATGTTCTTGTGGAGAAGATTTGCTGACCTCACTCAACCATAAGTTCCACTGAAGAAGGTCCTTTTGATTTGACTTACCCATATTTTTCAGGAAATATAAAGTATGTTTGTAACTTCTAATAATTTTTGGTGGAAAAATCCAAAGTTGTAGCAAATGAATTTATGTTACATGAAACAGGACTTATTGGGAAAACCAATAGTGACATTGTTTGCCAAAGAAGAAGCTAGAATATTCTCTTTTGAGAAGTAAGGTACAAAGATTACACAAATTTCAATGATTAACTGAGAATTAAAACACCCTGAAATCTTGTACTGCAAAGTTTATTCATATTTCTAACTTAGAATTTAACCCATTTGACAGATAAGTGTTTTGCCAGTTAGATCATACTTTGGCTGATACATGTGGGGGAGTAATATAGTATCAGGGTTTATGTGCACAAACAATAGAAAGTGACTCTAATTCAGTGCTGTATGTCAATTATACCTCAATAAAACTAGAAAAAAATGACTAGCTCTTTTAAATAGAAAAGAGTTAATATAAAGAAGATTGGGAATTCAGACAATTGGTTTGAAGTTCTAAAACCAGGGTTGGAGAATAGGCAGATGTGGCAGGTATCCGCATCTATAAGGCATCTTATAGACAGCTTGGTAGACAGAGGTTCTGCAAGAGTGGGGCAGGCCAAAAGGACTGGCAGCTGTGCTACCACTGACAAAGGATGCTCACCCAATTCTGAGCAGTTGGCAACACCCACATCATGTAGTGTAGCTGTGGATATGTTATTCACTCAGTGTCAGGAGAGCAGAGCAGGTCAATGATTCTGCTAGTCTGAGGTTTTGACTTGCGGCAAAGCGTTTAAGGGAATGGGCCGTCAAGTCAGACTTTCTGAAATTTAAACCCAGATGGATTCTTCACTTTCTAATTGTGAAATTTTAGACAATTTATGTGACCTCTTTCACCCTTGGTATCCTCATCTGTGAGATGAGAATAATTGTCTTTTGGCATAAATGACTTACTACATGTAAAATGTTAGAACACTGCCTGGAACATAGAATCTGATAAGTTTTTGTTCTTCTTCTCCTCATTCATATTCACCTGAATGTACAGCCTGAACCTGTTCCCTACCTGCCTCTTGGACGGTTCTGTTTTATGTCTGTTTATGTTCCTCAAGTTAAAGTGCCCCAAACTGCAGTCAGCATTTATTTGGCGATTCTCAGCACTGCTCCTCCTCTGGTCATTAATTTATAAGCTTTTTTTCACTACCACCTAGGCAACAAATAAATTGTAAACATCTTCTTCTCACTCAACTTCTTCATCCAGCCTCCAAGTCCCAGAGAACTTACCTCCTTGAAATCCTGGTCTGGCCTTTCTCTCTCAATTATACTGATTTGATAAGCTTCTCCTCATCTCATGTTTAGATTACTCTAATAGTTTCCAGTGTGAGTTCCTGTGGAACCTTGCCTCCCTCTCACCACACACACACACACACACACACACACACACACACACACACACACGCCTCTCTTTCTTGCAATATGGTTATAACTGTAAATTGTTAGATAAATCTTGGCAGTTAGATTATTAAACAGTATTTATAGATAGTGCATAAAATGCTATTTTTGCTTTCATTTCCTATTTTGTTTTCCTTGAAGTGAATATTTTTAGGTGCTTTCATTTGCTTAATATTCTGTGGATTTCTGTGATTTATCCCTAACCTCGTGCCCATTTGTACAGATCTCCTCTCAGTATGTACAGCTGTAGCTATATAATGTTAGCTGGTAGTCTAAAAGTGTTATCTTCTTTAAGATGTCTTTCCAATAAATTTATGATCCACTCCAGTGACGACAGGATGCCCTCTTAACTTTGTTGAAGATTTAACATCTTGAGATCCCCCTTCACCATCTTTCTGGGGGTACTCTTCACCTCTTACCTATGTTAGGTCCCTGTACCTATGTTATGTTAGGTCCCCTATTCTCTGGATCCTATATCTTCCTGTTTCTTGGTTTCCTTCTTCTTTTTTTAAATGAGTTTTATTTTTTAGAACAGTTTTAGATTTATAGAAAAATTGAGAACACAGTACAGAAAATTACCATATACCCCACATTCTGTTTCCTGTATTATTAACATCTTACAGTACATTTGTTACAATTAATAAACCAATACTGTTATTTATCAATAACTAAAATCCATACTTTATACAGATTTCCTTAGTATTTACCTAATGTCCTTTTTTTTAGCATCTTTATTGGAGTATAATTGCTTTACAATGGTGTTAGTTTCTGCTTTATAACAAAGTGAATCAGTTATACATATACATATGTTCCTATATCTCTTCCCTCTTGCGTCTCCCTCCCTCCCACCCTTCCTATCCCAACCCTCTAGGTGGTCACAGAGCACTGAGCTGATCTCCCTGTGCTATGCGGCTGCTTCCCACTAGCTATCTGTTTTACGTTTGGTAGTGTATATATGTCCATGCCACTCTCTCGCTTTGTCACAGCTTACCTTTCTCCCTCCCCATATCCTCAAGTCCATTCTCTAGTAGGTCTGTGTCTTTATTCCTGTCTTACCCCTAGGTTCTTCATAACTTTTTTTCCCTTAGATTCCATATATATGTGTTAGCATACGGTATTTGTTTTTCTCTTTCTGACTTACTTTACTCTGTATGACAGACTCTAGGTCCATCCACCTCACTACAAATAACTCAATTTCATTTCTTTTTATGGCTGAGTAATAGTCCATTGTATATATGTGCCACATCTTCTTTATCCATTCCTCTGTCAGTGGACATTTAGGTTGCTTCCATGTCTTGGCTATTGTAAATAGTGTTGCAGTGAACATTGGGGTGCATGTATTTTTTTGAATTATGGTTTTCTCTGGATATATGCCCCAGGTGTTATTTTTGAGAAGACTTTCAGGAAGCCAGAAAAAATGACAGCTGCCTAGATCTGCATCTCCCAATATTTCTGGTGAAAGCGATACAGAAGAATAAGATGAACAAATAAAAATTTGTAAAAACAATATCCACAGCATAATCCAAAGACAAAAATATGTCCGAACTTCAAAATAACTATAAATTAAGAGAGAAAAACTCCAAATCCCAGGAAGCAGTCTCTCTCACTCCTGCTCTAGAGACCTCAAGCTTTTGCAATGAGCAAGAGCAGGTGGAAAAAGCTTAGGAAAGAGAGAAGAGTTGTGATTGTGATGGATCTAATTTGATCCAAAACCATGGTCAGAAAGAGTTAAGTTCACACTAAATGTGAAAAGGAAGAATCTGTCTCGAGAGATGAGAGTGAGATAAAGGATATGCAATTTGAAGTGTCACCTCTTGGTACCTTGAGAGAATAAAAAAAAATGAAATTATAAAAGTACTATGTGTGGAGTAAAGAAATAATAGACACTAATAACAGAGAGGTCAAATACAGATAAAATTTGTGTTGTAACAGTGTTAAAAATAAAATCTTAAAGACTAGAACACGGAAAAGAAGAAAAATAGGCAAAATCAAGCAAGCAATGAGATTCTTCACTGGGTTGGTCTCTCTCCAGTCCCTTCTTGAGAATGATATTCTCTTGAAATCTCACCCAGAGTTAAGCAGTTGAGGGTGAGATCATTTTCTTGGCATCACTCATGTTTGAAAGATGCATCTCTTTTAACAGAATACTGAAATTAAAAGTACAGGCATTGAGCAGCACATATTGAGTCTTTTCCTTTCTTTTTATTTCTTCTCCTCATTTTGGACTATAAAAGCTCAAAATACCTGTTGGGTAGTCTTGGGTGAAGGGTGATAATGTTGATGCCTGCCGCGGGTTGACACTGGAAGTTACAAAAGTAGGTACCTAGATAAGAGCTACTCAATTTCATGTGATCTGAGTATATGGAAATGGGCGGAGGAGCCCCAAAGAACAAGCTAGTCCTATGTGGTCTCATGGTAAGCCATTTTCCCCTTGAGTTATACCCCAACTCTTAGTAAGGTCCATTTTGAAATTCCAGCTAAAATAAGATCAAGCAAAGGAGTGATCTTTTCATGGCATGAGTCAGAATAATAAAGGTGGAGATACATATTCATGAGGAACAGAGTAGAGTCTTCTGGTCTACACAAGGAGAAAGTCTGTCTGAGAAAAAAGCCAGGTAGAACCAAGCATATTCAAGTAATTGAAAGAAAGAGACACAACCCTCTGGATTCCTCGGATCCATTCAGTTCTGAAGCATAATGCATCCCTGGACTTGCCAGTTAAGTGAACTTTTTTGTTTGTCTCAATATCATTTCACTTACAATGAAAAGTAATTATTTATTATAATGAAAAGGTTTTTAATTAATACATGTCACTACTGTACCTTGTACAAAGTTCTATGATAGTAATTACTCCCTTTTTTCTGTATAGCATTGTAAGAGAAATTAATTTTACATTAAGAAAGATCTGTGTTTAAATCCTGGCTCTGCCATTAGTTGTTATGACTTTGGCAAATTTCTTTTTAACATCAGCTTTGGTTTCTTCATATGTAAAACAAATACTTTTCTCAGATAATTCTGAAGATTATAAAGGATAAGTTAATGAAAGAGTTTAGTATTGTAGCTAGAGCCAGATATCTATAAATTGTGCAGTTCTCACTTTCTTTTGTTGCTTCTCTAATTAGAATGAGAGAACCAAGGGGCAGGATCTGCATCTTATTCCTTTTTGTATTCAGAGTACCTTGCAGCTTAAATCCACCAAGACCATTATTTACTCTAGAGAAAACAGGCTTGTGAAGGAAAAGTAATCAGCATATTTTACTCCTTAGATGTGCAAAGCATTTACATCCTCATAATCATGTAAACACTGAATATTAATGGAACTTTAAAAATTAACTGTACTGGGAAGATGAAGACATTAGGAGGTATATTTGCAGTGGTAGAAGGTGAAAATTGGCTAGACTTAATTTCCCAGACTTAAAGTCAATTGACAAGACATAATAGTGAAAAATCAAGAAACAACCGCATGTTATTTAGAAATATAAAGACCAAAACAAAAAAAAGAAAAAATAGAAAGAAAGACCTGTTAATAGCAGCATGAATAAAAATAAATAAGATTGACTTCTTGCCCTCTAGGAGTTTACAGTGTAAATGAAGGTACGCATGTAAACTCACTGTATATAAATGGGAGAAGATAAATGCAGAAGATGCTTCAGCAGCACACAGAGAAGGCACTTTAGGTTCCGGGAGTAGAGACAGGAGAAGAGGTCAGAATAGATGTTCTATCAGAAATGATGACAGAACAAGTCTCGGAGCATGAGTAAGTGGTATCCAAGTGAGAACAAGGGAGAAGGCATTTCAGGCAGATGAAATGGCATGAAGCCAAGAAACCAGCAAAATGCCTGAGAAGTACTACTAGAGAGTAAAATTCAAGAAGTAGACACACGGGAGAAAAGGCTGTGGACACCAAATTTGGGGAGCAGACCCTAGAAGGCTCTTTCTGAGGAATTTGCATCTGTGTTGAGAGAGAAGCTAAACAAGGGAATACAGCATTTTCACAAGTAATTCCATATAAAATGTGTGAAGAATAGATTTCCAGAGAAGATAGATGTGGCAGGCAAAATTCTGAAACAGGACCCGCCCCCCAATGTCTTTTCCTCTTGTATAATCCCCTCTTATTTGAATGTGGAAGCAACCATATATATAACGATATATCACTTTAGGGACTATGCATGTTATATGGTACAGTTGACCTTAAATTAGGGAGATTATCAGGGCAGGCCTAATGTAATCACATGAGCGTATTAAAACCAGAGAGTTTTTCTCCAGCTAGTGGCAGAAGGGGAAGTCGGCGAGATTCAAAGCACAGCAAGGATTCTCCATTTACCGCCACGTTGAAGACAAGAGGGCCACATGATGAGGAATGCAGGCAACCTCTAGAAGCTGAGAGTGACCCCCAGCTGACAGCCAGCGAGGGAATGGAGCTCTCAGTTCTACAACTACAGGAACTGAGTTCTTCCAACAACCTGAATGAATTTGGAAGCAGATTCTTCCCCCAGAGCCTCCAGAAGGGAATGCAGCCCTGCCCACATCCTGATTTCGGCCTGGGCAGAGAATCCAGCCATGTGATTCCATACCAGACTTCTAATTTACAAAACTATGACTAATAAGTGGGTGTTCTTTTAAGCCACTAAGTTTATGATAATTTATTACACATCAATAAATTCTTAATGTGAACTGATAGTTGGAGAAGAACATTGAGTCCCAAATGTGCCAATATCAACTTACTAACAAAAGATGTAAACACAGGCTCAGTAATTTCTTCCCTAAGGAGCCTGATCAAACTGTGATCCTAAATAAGGCTCATTTTCCAAGCTTCCAAACAAGCTGCTGAGATCCACAGAGAATAAGATGCGTTCACACTATTAGCCCGCTGATGGTTTGGAGACATAAAGCTGATGCATTTGCCTTGCCCTGAAGACATATGCGAATCTACAGACAGAAGGGATGTTGCCTCCTCCTTTGTCAAAACCTCTGTCTCCTTCTGGCCAGTGAAGGGAAAAGAGTACATAAGGCCTGGTAGTAGTGAAGTCTCCAGGTTGAAGGAAGTTGGGTGGCGAGTCTTCTCCGTTCTGATGTTTTCATTCCCACTGCTACAGCAGTGGAGAGATGTGGGAGGCCACCTGCCCTTCTTAAACAATCCATTGTGATTTTGGGGTAAGATTGGTTAAAGAGAATGGGTGGGAGGAATGCGGGATCGTAGGGGACACTCTCAGTACTTTTGCTAAGCCTGGTGCTGAGTTTCTGAAAGGTAGGAGGAAGAGAATAGGTTGAGCAGTGGGCACAGTGGGGATCACAGTGACCTCACTGTCCCAAGCTTCAGGAATTTCCATCGCAAGGAGTCCCGGGTACCACTCTGGACTCCTTTCCTCTCTTGCTGTATGGCCTTGGCCAGCCTACTCATCTCTTCAAGATATTTTTCCTTATCTCTCAGATGTGGACATCACTTTGGACCCCTGCTGAAAGACTTTATCCTGGATCGTGTCAGCCCAAGGGAGGTGAGGAGTTGCAGCTGAGATTTAAAAACATGGAAGGAAAGGACAGCTGAGAGAAGAAAGTTGAAAGATACGGAGTTGTCACTCTGGCTCTTCTAGAGTGCTGTCCCAGCAGTCACCCTTGAAGCCCCATGGAACAAGTCCTCGGTCTAGAAAGAAAGGATTTCAGTCTCTTCTTGATGTGACATTGTTCTCTCATTTCCTCACAGATCACACCCCTGCCGATAATGTCTGTGGAAAATGGCTTAGTTCATCCTGGTAGGACTTACAGACCAAAGTCAACTCCAGATACCCCTCTTCTTCCTCTTCTTATTGAACTGTATGGTCACTGTGGTAGGGAATTTGAGCTTAATTAATCAGATATGCCTGAACTCTCATCTTCACACTCCCATGTATTTTTTGGTCTTCAACCTGTCCTTCATAGATCTCTGCCACTCCTTGGTCATTACGCCTAAACGGCTGATGAGCTTTGTGTCAGAGAACATCATCTCCTTTGCAGGGTGCATGACTCTGTTGGGTTTTTCTTTTCTGTTTCCTTGTCCATTCTGAATGCTATGTGTTGACAGCCATGGCCTATGATCGCTGTGTGTCCATCTGTAAGCCCCTTTTGTACACAGTCACCATGTCCCCTCAGGTCTCTTCTTTGCTGATGTTTGGTTCATATGTAATGGTGTTTGCCAGTGCTGTGGCCCACACAGGGCACATGGTCAGATTATCCTTTTGTGATTCCAGCATCACCAACCATTACATGTGTGACATCTTCCCCCTCCTCCAGCTGTCCTGCAGCAGCACGGATGCCAGTGAGCTGGTGGATTCCATTATTGTGAGCACAGTTGTAATAATATGTAGCTTCATTATTTTTGTTTCTTATGCTTTGATCCTCTCCAGTATCCTCCACATCTCATCAGCTCAGGGTTGGTCCAAAGCCCTCAGTACTTGTGGCTCCCACATAATAACTGTTTGCCCTCTTCTATGGTTCTGGGTTGTTTACACATCTCAAGACCTTTTCTGATGGTTCTGTGGGCCAGGGGGAGTTCTTCTCAGTATTTTATACCAATGTAGTCCCCATGTTGAACCTCCTCATCTATAGTCTAAGGAACAAGGATGTCAAACTTGCTCTGAAGAAAACCCTAAAGAGAGTTGCGAACTAAGCAGAACCAGTATTGCTGGGTTGTTTTGTGTGTGTGTGTGTGTGTGTGTGTGTGTGTGTGTGTGTGTGTGTGTGTGTGTGTGAATGTGTTTTCCCATAATTTTCTTCAGAACAAGGTTTTTGCCTTAGATCCTTTTTTCTGTCTAATCATGCCATTTAAACATGCAAATATTATTGAGTCTCATGATTGTTCTCAGTTCCATGCTTACTCACTGAATGAGCTTTATTCTTAACAGTGGGCTCCAGAGACTCAGCTTGATTCCTACTCCTTTTCACACCACCTCCCACTTTGCTTCTTTCCATGTACTTTTCATAAATCAGCATGAATGTGGTCTGATGCGGCCACCCCTCTTTGTTTTCCCTAAAAACAATGTTAATGTAGCCCTTTCTGTTTTTTAACCATTTGAGGAGTTCCTTCTGTATAAGTTATAAATTTTCTAGAATTTCAGTACTCTTTTAGTCATGGTTTCTATAGTACTGCATTTCCAAACTCAGCAAAGCTTCAATAGTATCTATGAGATATTTATGCTTAGTTAACAGGGATCACAAGTATTAGCTTATAAGTATGGAATGTGTTAATACCAATTAGGAACTGAGAGAAATGAACCTAGTTACTTTAAATCAATTTAGTCTGACTCGTTGTAATAGCATCAGGGGTATGATGTATATGTATATATACATGTATCAGATATGTACATAATATGTAATGTACATGTACATAATTTTGTTTACATCTCTGCCTAATCAAATAGAATTTGACCACCTAGTGTTTACTCCTTTCTCCTATATGGTTAGACTAGACTCTGGTAAAATAAATATTCATGAAATTAATAATTTGAACTTGTTTGATACAGATGTTTTCTCTAAAGCAAACTAAAAGTTTTTGTTAGTAAAAACTTCCTTTTTTTCAGAAAATGAGTTTTCTTAAAATTCGTGGCCATAAATCTTCAAAACGGTGAAGAGTCTGGTTTGATACAGTAGAAGGAAATGCCATTCTTTTTTCAGTTTGAAGTATAGCCTTCTGCATTTCCGATAAGGCAGGTCTAGTGGTGATGGAATCCCTCAGCTTTTGGGTTTTCCTGGGTCTATTATAACATAGGTATCTTTCAAATTGACTATTTCAGGTAAACAGCACTCCTGTTTGCAAACTAACATGTTCCTCCTGAAGAATTTGGATCCCTTTTGGAAAAAAGAAGAACTGTTTGGCTTGGTTACAAAATAAATTAGGAAAAGCATGCAATTTTACCTTCAGAAACTAAGATAAAATCGGCATTTGTTGTACTACTTATTATATACATGAAATTTAAAACCTGTCTCCAGTGATTAATGATGTTAAGTGTTCTTTCATGTGTTTGTTGGCAATCTGTATATCTTCTTTGGAGAAGTGACTATTTAGGTCTTCTGCCCATTTTTGGATTGGGTTGTTTGTTTTTTTGTTATTGAGCTGCATGAGCTGCTTGTAAATTTTGGAGATTAATCCTTTGTCAGTTGCTTCATTTGCAAATATTTTCTCCCATTCTGAGGGTTGTCTTTTGGTCTTGTTTATGGTTTCCTTTGCTGTGCAGAAGCTTTTAAGTTTCATTAGGTCCCATTTGTTTATTTTTGTTTTTACTTCCATTACTCTAGGAGGTGGGTCATCTCACACCGGTCAGAATGGCCATCATCAAAAAATCTAGAAACAATAAATGCTGGAGAGGATGTGGAGAAAAGGGAACACTCTTGCACTGTTGGTGGGAATGTAAATTGATACAGCCACTATGGAGAACAGTATGGAGGTTCCTTAAAAAACTACAAATAGAACTACCATACGACCCAGCAATCCCACTACTGGGCATATACCCTGAGCAAACCATAATTCAAAAAGAGTCATGTACCAATATGTTCATTGCAGCTCTATTTACAATAGCCAGGACATGGAAGCAACCTAAGTCTCCATCAACAGATGAATGGATAAAGAATATGTGGCACATATATACAATGGAATATTACTCAGCCATAAAAAGAAACAAAATTGAGTTATTTGTAGTGAGTTGGATGGACCTAGAGTCTGTCATACAGAGTGAAGTAAGTCAGAAAGAGAAAAACAAATACCGTGTGCTAACACATATATATGGAATCTAAGAAAAGAAAAAAGTCATGAAGAGCCTAGGGGTAAGACAGGAATAAAGACACAGACCTACTAGAGAATGGACTTGAGGATACTGGGAGGGGGAAGGGTAAGCTGTGACAAAGCAAGAGAGTGGCATGGACATATATACACTACCAAACGTAAAATAGATAGCTAGTGGGAAGCAGCCACATAGCACACGGAGATCAGCTCGGTGCTTTGTGACCACCTAGAGGGGTGGGATAGAGAGGGTGGGAGGGAGGGAGACGCAAGAGGGAAGAGATATGGGAACATATGTATATGTATAACTGATTCACTTTGTTATAAAGCAGAAACTAACACACCATTGTAAAGCAATTATACTCCAATAAAGATGTTAAAAGAAGACAAAAAAAATAAAATAAAATAAAACCTGTCTCCAAAATGTAACCTATGCATGTGTTGGTAGAAGATAATAAAACCAAGTAAATAAATTAGGTGTGCCTGCAAAGTGGCTGTGGCATTTTTAGAACCCCAAAATGCATCATGGTAGGTAAAATTTTGTTTCTAAGAGTGGCAGCAGAAATATAACAGACATATCCCTGCTATTGTGCACAGTCATGCTTGGCTTGAACCGTGGTTAAATTGGATTGCATTTCAGTTTCCTCAGTAGGATTGACAGTTGCCTTGCCCTAAATTTTAGGCTACTAGAATGCTAGGTATCAGATACCACACTGAGAAAACTACCCTTCATCATTGGTATGTTACCTTCAAGTCTTTTCTCTTTACATCTGCAGATATATTTAGGGGGAAATGGGAGTGATATTACACATAAATTTATGCATTCTTTTTCCCAGTTTTACTGAGATAAAACTGACAAATAAAAATTGTATATATTTAAGGTATAAAACATGATTTTATATATACACACACACACACACACACACACACACACATTGCGAAATGATTACCACAATCAAGCTAGTTAACCCGTCCATCAGCTCACATAGTTACCACTTTGTGTGTGTGTGTGGTGAAAACACTTAAGATCTACTCCCTTAGTAAATTTAAAGTATAAATCCCCAGAACTTATTCCTATCATAATTGAAAGCTTGTACCCTTTGACCAACATCTTTCCATTCCCTACACCCCTTAGCCCCTGGCCACCACCATTCTACTCTTTGCTTCTATGAGTTTGACTTTTTTTAGATTCCACATGTAAGTGAGATCATGCAGTATTTGTCTTTCTGTGTCTGGCTTATTTCACTTAGCACCGTGTTCTCAGGGTCCATCCATGTTGTTGCAAATGGCAGGATTTCCTTCTTTCATGGATGAATAATATTCCAACGTGTGTGTGCGTGTGTGTGTGTGTGTATCACATATTCTTTATCCATTCATCCATTGATGGACATTTTGGTTGTTTCCATATCTTGGCTGCTGTAAATGATGTTGCAATGAATATAGAATTACAGATATTTCTTCAAAATCTTGATTTCATTTCCTTTGGATATATACTCAGAAGTGGAATTGCTGGATCATATGGCAGTTCTACTTTTAATTTTTTGAGGAGCCGCCATACTGTTTTCCACAGTGGCTGCACCAATGTACATTCCCACTAGCAGTGTACAAGGATTCCCTTTTCTCTGCATCCTCACTAACACTTGCTATTGCTTGTCTTTTTGGTAAAAGCCATCTTAACAGGTGTGAGGTGATATCTCATTGTGGTTTTGATTTTCGTTTCCCTGATAATTAGTGATGTTGAGCACTTTTTTGTATACCTGTTGGCCATTTGTATGTCTTCTTTGGAAAAATATCTATTCAGTTCTTTTGTCCATTTTTTAATCAGGTTTTTTTTTTTTTTTTTTTTTTTGCTGTGGAGTTGTATGAGTCCCTTGTATATTTAAACCCTTATCAGATCTATGGTTTGCAAATATTTTTTTCCCATTCTATAGGATGCCTTTTCATTATATGGATTATGTCCTTTGCTTCTGCTCTCTGTTTTTTGATCCCTTTCTGTCATGAGCATTTTCCTGTGTCAGTAAAGATTTCCTTCTATGAAAACACTGTTCCTGATGCCATGCTCTCTCACGCCTTTTAGACTTCTTACTGATATTTCTTCTTAGGATGGTATTTCCTCTGGAAAGTTTACTTTTACTGCGTTCTTTTACCACCACCACCATCTCTGTCTAGATTTTTCTCCTTTCCTATATGTATATATAGAATTAATAACTCGTTATATAAGGGAAATATGGCTTCTTAGTATTGGGGTCCTTTTTAATTATTTAGTTTTTGAGTCCATAATGCATTCACATGGTTCAAAATTCAAAAGCTACAGAAAGGATATACAATGAAAAGTCTCCCTTACATTCCACATCCCCCCAGTTACCTACTTGTTCTCCCAGGAGGCAGCCAGTCCTATCAGTTACTGTCAGTGCTGTCAGTGACATTTTATTCACATATAATAAAGTTCATATATATTAGCCCACTGATTTTACATAAATGGTAGCATTCTGTGTGCACACTGGTTTAACCTGCTTTTTATCTTACATATAACATTTCTTGAGACACAGCTAGAGAACAAGTAAGACTTAGGATCCAGGAAAGAGTAAATTCAGAAGACTAGTGAAGTCCCAGGATTACAGCTGTGTAGCTAGCCTAAAAGCAACCAGTCCAGACTGGAACAGTGGTTTAGGAGGGTTTTTTCCACTTAACAATACATTTTGGATATCATATCATATATATATATTTATATATAAAGATAGTCATATATGATATATGTCTTATATATATAAAGATAGTCTTAGTTTTTAGTACACCTACATAAAATTTTTGTACAAATGTCCAAAAAAGTATTTGAACAGTCTCTTTTTGATGGATAACTAGGTTAATCCCAGTTTTTTGTTATTGTGAAAAAA